CCGAGTTTTTTTATATTCTATTTTTTATTACCACAAGTAAAAATTCTATATTAATAATACAAGAATTAGGTACTATTTTTTTAAAGGGAACTTCCTGTATAAAATGTGACTATTTTTTACTAACATTAAACTAAAATCTTTAACAAAGTAATTATCAAAAACATAAACCTTACTTATAGGTTAATATTAACAAGATCACGTCATAAATTCCTTGAAAACTAGTTTCTTTCTACGAACACCAAATTCTTCTCATAAAGCTAATATTTTTTATTATCTATTTAGTTTAATTACAGTCCGGAATGACATATTTTCATGATTTATATAATTCAAAGTAGCTTACATTATTTATTTTAAAATTTTTAACACATCACAAAAATGACATGATTGATTTATAATTCAAACTGCCGCTTTTTTATCTCCCCTCTCTACCTATGGTACATATGGAACACTAGCGCCCTCTTATTTTTGTAAGAATTTTGTTTACATGGAGTTCGGGCTCCTTGTATAGTCTCCATGGTCTGTAGTAAGCGGAGCGACAAACTTGCATTAGTGCATGCGGTATTTAGCCCCCCCTAGTAGTTTATAAGGTTTATGTAGGGGCACGATACAAAGAAAAAGAAGACACTTTATGGGGGCTTTCGTTTTGGCAAAAATAGTACCTATTAGCAACTAATATCAGTTCAGAGTAACTCTAAGTTGCTTTAGCTACTAATAGCTATTACTTTTGCCTTTTGCCAAATCGAAAGGGCAAATCTATACCACAGCTTAATAATATACAGCTCCAAGAGTCCGTGTCGGCGCCTTTGATATGGCGGTCGAGAATCAAGCGAGACGGAATCGTGCTAACTCTCTCAGATTAAGCGGAATTGTCGGGGCCGGATTAAAAGAATTTTTATTATTGAAATAAAATATTTAGTTTCTACCTGACAGTACCGTAATAGGTAATTTTAATAATATAAAATTTGAATTAGAATATTAGGTGGTATGACATTAATAGTAGAAAATGGGTATTTTAGATAGGTAATAGGTTTTGTACTTGGAGTTAATACGGATTATTAAAAGAAAACTTGAAGAGTAATTAAAATTCCTTGTTGTAAGCTCCTGTTTACTGACGTAATCCTTAGAGAAGAAAATTGTTAAAATCGTGTTTCTTTCGAACAAAAAATCGTTAATATCTCGAAAATGGTAGATTTTAGAGAAAAGTTGCATATGAACTTTTTTGTTCAGGATACCCCAAAAAGCCTATAAAAATGTATTTCGAGCGAAAAAATCGAAAATTACGAATTTGTTTAAAAAAAATTGTTTAAACAATTTTTGACCATTAGTAACGTCTGGCAACATGCGGATATGTTTCAAGGGTAATTTTTTTTAGTAAGATTATGAAAAAAAATCGAATGAGAATTATGTTCCTAGCGGGAGCAACGATACAGCCTGGACTAAAAACTAATAAAATATAATCATTACAGATTTCTCCATTATTATAAGTTTATTTTTTGAATATTCCTAAAATTTTGGTTTATAGTTTATAACGTATAATAAATTCTAACCCTTACATGTAACCTAAGTACAAATTATTTCGGAAAAGAATGACACGGATGACTAAGGCCGGTGTCCCATGCATCCGAAATCCGATGTACGATATCCGAAAATATTTTAATTCGTACGAATGATAATATTATAATTCACATGCATCCGAAATTAATCTCATAGAAATCAAGTATAGAACCATAGAATTTATTACAAGATGAAGGTGAAACATTTTCAAATGAGTGAGTTTTAGGTATATATTACAGAAAATATACGTAATATTATATTTTCTACATTCGACATTATAATATAACATTTATTTGACTGTAAATATATCAAACAACAATCATAGTATGTTAAAAACTTAAAAAGTGAGGTTAAAAAACATACGATTTCGGATAAGAGTTAAAATTATTTCTACTTTTTCCGACGTCGTATGAATTTTAAAAATTTCGGATGAAAATGAGCGGTAAAAATTTGAATGTATATTAACCAATAGGAACACTTTCGGACCTTCGTATCGTCGGAATTCGGATGCATGGGACACCGGCCTAAAAGGTAGTCTTTTAATTAATTCAAGAAATGTGCTACAAAAAATGTTATTTTTTGTGGATAATTGTTCAAAATTATCTTGAAATATCTTTTCAGTGTTACAAATGAGCTCAACAAAGTTATCGTTTGGCATTTGCAATTGTTCAAATAAGGTATTTTCATTTTCATTATCATATAAAATAAAAATAATCAACGAAATTATACCCACGCCTATGATTGCAACTCTGCGTTGTCGTCGTTAGGCCGGTGTCCCATGCATCCGAAATCCGATGTACGATATCCGAAAATATTTTAATTCGTACGAATGATAATATTATAATTCACATGCATCCGAAATTAATCTCATAGAAATCAAGTATAGAACCATAGAATTTATTACAAGATGAAGGTGAAACATTTTCAAATGAGTGAGTTTTAGGTATATATTACAGAAAATATACGTAATATTATATTTTCTACTTTCGACATTATAATATAACATTTATTTGACTGTAAATATATCAAACAACAATCATAGTATGTTAAAAACTTAAAAAGTGAGGTTAAAAAACATACGATTTCGGATAAGAGTTAAAACTATTTCTACTTTTTCCGACGTCGTATGAATTTTAAAAATTTCGGATGAAAATGAGCGGTAAAAATTTGAATCTATATTAACCAATAGGAACACTTTCGGACCTTCGTATCGTCGGATTTCGGATGCATGGGACACCGGCCTTACTCGCCTGAAACGAACGCCAAAGCAGTCTTTTCTGCTGAAAGGCGGGGCATAAACGCTGCGCGACGGAATCGACGCTAACCGTTCCCGCCAAGACAGTTGGGGAGCTGTATAAGCTGTGTCTATACTGTGATGGAGGATGGAGGTAGGAGGTGAGATTATAAATTTTTGAGGTTAGATTAGATTAGGTACTGTTTATGTTCAAGTGATTACATATACATACATAATACATATATAGATTTTTAAAGAATACTCGGGAAATATTCTTAGGATAAAGTTCAATGATTGTTTCATACGCACTTACGGCTTGATCGATAGAAAGAAATGGCAGGAAAAATTGCTACAGAAACGTTCAGAAGTACATTTAAAACTATTGACAAAGACGTAGTTAGATGGTTTCCTGGTCATATGGGTCGTGGTTTGAAGCAAATGCAGCAAAAACTGAGGTCTGTAGATTGTATAGTAGAGGTTCATGATGCTCGAATACCTCTCTCGGGTCGAAATAGTGATTTTAAATATACAATGAGTGGCATTAAACCTCATATCTTAGTTTTAAATAAAGCGGACTTGATAGAAAACAAATTTATTGATAGGATAACAAATGTCTTAAGCAATGAATATGAGCATATATTGTTTACAAACTGCAAAAATCAGAAATGTCGTGGTGTGAAGCAAATCTTTCCGCTGGCCCAAGAACTAATAAACAAGTCCAACAGATATAATCGTTCAAATGAAGAAGATTATAATATAATGATAATAGGAGTTCCAAATGTAGGAAAATCTTCATTAGTCAATGCTCTTCGAATAAGACATTTGAAAAAAGGTAAAGCTTCACATGTTGGTGCTTCACCAGGAATAACTAAAAGTGTGTTACATAAAATAAAAATGTGTGAAAATCCTTTATTTTATATGTTGGATACCCCTGGTATACTTACACCAAATATCAACAATGTTGAATCAGGATTAAAATTAACATTATGTGCTACTATTCAGGATCACCTTGTAGGAGAAAAAATTGTAGCAGATTATTTACTGTATTGGCTGAATCGACAGCAACATTTTGAATATGTTAACTACCTTAAATTAGATAATCCAACAGATAATATTTTGCAACTGCTTACTCATATTAGTAAACAAAATGGTAAAACTTTGAAGATGAAAGACTACTTGAACCAATATATCATTAGGCCTGATTTAGATAGTGCTGCAAAATATATGCTAAAAGCATTCAGGAATGGTGATTTAGGAAAAATTCTTTTAGATGAAGATTTACTTGAATAGTGCTGACTTATTAAATTAATATTGCTGGAAAGAAAATTTTGCTGTATCAAGTAGGAATATATTCCTGTGGCAAACAATTGAAACTGGATGTTGTTTGTTAAATATGTATATGTATTATGGTGAATTCAATCATAGAATTGACAATAATCATAACCATTTAATAAGCATTAAATATATTATCATGTTAACTTGTGAATTCAATAAACAAAACAATTTTAAAAATACTGTAAATATATCAGAAAATAAAATAGTATTTTTATTACTTAATAATATCTCTCCTGAAATCGACAGTACATAGTCAGTAGATCAATGATGATAATCGAATTATTGTAAATTATGTGTTTGCAAATTATACAATTTTTAATTAAAGCTACTGTAATTTTTTTGTTTTTGTATTTCTTTTATATACGAAGTAGGCCAATAATAATTCAAACAAAATTATACGAAAAGAGAAAGTTTTAAATTTGATGAAGCATCAAATACAGGCTGGTATTTTTTAAATTCTTTCAAATTGGAAAGATCTGGGGTGGGTATTGGTTATACCTTAATAATAAAGCATAAGATCCATACTGTTTCTTAGTAGGTAAATCATGACAAAAAAATTTGAAATGTAATTTGTGGAATAAAAAATTAATATAAGTATGGGCTATTTGGAATATTAGCGTTGCACATACAGGGTGTTAATTAAGTATGTACAATAAATTCAGCAAACGATTATTTGAGTGATTTTAAGACAAAAAGTTCATATAAACATTGGTCCGCAGATGCTTCGTTTTCAAGATACAGGGTGTTAAACTTTTGTAAAAAAATTGCTATTTCATAAATATCTTAAATACACTTTTCCCAATTTTGTTGTAATTTGGCAGTTTTATTTAAATATACATAGTTATTTTTTTTATACGAGGTGTCCCAGAATAACGTGTACAATGGAAGACCATAGATTCGTGGACTAAAAATAGGCAGATTTAGGCTAATTCACCTATATCCAAAATCGCTTCATTTGGCCGCTAGATGGCCTCAAATTTGGTGTAAATTTTTTCAATTCTGTAAATAACTCGAATACGTATTAATCGATATTCATTATTTTTGGGGTGTGAACTTTTGTTTTCGATCTATACATTTTGGTGTTATACAGTGTTTTTTAAAACTTACAACTTCTACAAAATTGATGTGTGGTGATAATATTCGTTCATAACTTTTTCCTCTTTCGGGCAATAATGACAACTATTTTTTATCTGATGGGTGATACCATTTGCCCGAACGAGGAAAATGTTATGAACGGATATTATCACCATACAACAATTTTGTAGGGGTTGTAGGTTTAAAAAAACACACCACATAACATCAAAGTGTGTAGATAGAAAGCTAAAGTCCACACCCCAAAAATAATCAAAATCGATTAATAGGTATTCGAGTTATTTACAAAGTTCAAAAACTTTTCACCAACTTTGAGGCCATCTAGCGGCAAAACTAAGCGATTTCGGATATAGGTGAATTAACCTAGATCTGCCTATTTTGAGTACACGAATTTGTGGTCTTCCGTTGTATACGTTATTTTGGGACACCGTTTATATACAGGATGTTTCAGAAAAACCTGTAAATTCAGGGGTACGACAAAAATTAAGAATTTTTTGTCTTATGAACTATATGTCTATCTCCTTTGGTATTCGAGATAGAGAGCGACAAAATAAAATTTTTTAAATAGAATTTTTAAGAAAATTTCCGAACGGTGCGAAATATTTTTATGAAATTTGGTATTCCGGGGATTTTAAGGACGCCAAATATGCTGGTCTAATTATTTTTTGGATATTTTATAGTGCTCTAGTTAGGAGATAGACATAGTTCATAAGACAAAAAATTCTTATTTTTTGTCGTACTATCACCACCTAATATTTTCGATGGAGAAAAGTAAATTGTAAAATATTTTTCTTAAATATTCTCAAAAACTGCTCATTTCTATTTATTTTAATATCATATGTATATATTGAAATTGTTGATGATTCTAATAATGTTTATTTTTTCTGCTAAAATTGCCATTATCTCAAAAACTATTAATTTGACATGATTTCTCCTACGACTTTTTATCTATAAAAACATATTTATGTTTTTTGTATGAAAAACGCCAATTTCTCTACTAAAATTGCCATTATCTCAGAAATTATTAATTCGACAGATTTCTTCTAAGGACCTTATTTGTAAAGAATTAAATTTCCCATAAAGGCAAGTACAAAAAAAATTTTTCTGACACGAAATTTAGGCGAGCCTAAGATATCGACCTATAATTTTTTCCGTTTGCATACATTTTTTTTATGCATAATTTTTGGTATAAATAATAAAAATTCAAAAAAGCTGATTTTCGGCCCACCCTAATAGGTACAAAGCAATGTTTTGTTCTAGTAGGCATTGAGTACCGATGACATTTGAGATATGACTACTTCGTATGTTTATGTGTCGCTTTCATTGAAAATATCTCGATAGATAGCTATTCAAATAGAGTTAAATTGTTGGTAGGTAGTCTCGTTCGTTTATGTCTGGTGATTCTGTTGAAGAATGATCTTTGTTATTTACTAGATATTGGAGTGTAATTCAATGCTGGACATGTAGCTATGATATTGGTTATTTTCCAAATTATCATTAGTAAAAAATATGTTTTAAAATTTTAGCTTATGGTACTCTTATGAAATGCCTTTAGAGAAAGTGGGCTAGTTTTTTTACTAGTTAAGGTAATAAGATGTTGGAACCCACTAAAAAGAAAACCTTACATTATATTTCAACAAAATTGCATTCATTTTAGTTATGTAATTTTACTGTATAAGGTCATTTCAAGTTTGCTAGAATATTTCATATCAATGAGTTTAACTAGAAAGTTTATTGAAAGGTAACCGCAAAAAGTTTCAGCAATATGATATATTGTATAACTTGCTGCAAGTTATCATCTATGTAGTTTATAAAAGAAACGTTACAGTAGAGCGGAATTTTTTAAGTTGATGTAACTTTTCTCAAAAAAATCCAAACATAGTTTTATTTAGGTTTAGGTCAATCATTTAATGCAACCACAGTGTTACATGGTATTCCTTAAATAGGCAATATTATATTTCAGATTTAGCGCTGTAAAGCGGCATATTTTCTATCACATCGACGTTTTGATTTGGTGCTCTTATTGCTGTTTGCTGGTTGCTGCTGTGGATGGTCACAGTGCCCAGTGACTGCAATCTTCTTTACGATGATGCAAAAATAAGTGAAATGGGCCAAAAATATGATGGATAAGATTAGGGTTACTTTTGGCTCCTTCTAAGGGATTGCGAGGGTTGAGGAGGGTCATGATCTTCGTATTTGTGACCAGCACTTTTGAAGATGTAGGGAAGGACATAGAGTTCATCACTGATGCCCAAAACAGGAAAAAGGAGTGGTTTTGGCCAATCGCGGGGGATGTGCAGCGTTAGAAATTCAAAGGACCTCAAATTCGGATTAAGCACCCTCGAAAACCTGGGTTTGATTTCGTAGCTGCAACAAATACTTTCTTATCTTCGACATTCTTGCAATAGACTCCTGCTGGTAGCATTATCGGTATATATTTTGAACATCATCAACTTTATTTTCAATAGTGATGGGTAGTTCGCGAACGAACGAGTTAAAACGAACGATTCTTCATAGTGAACTAAAAGAAGAGTTCCCTATTCTAAAACAAAGTAGTTCGCGCGAACTATTTGTGTCGATTTTGACCGATCATACGTTTCGGTCTGTCAAAGCATAATGCAGAGCACAGTATATTCATTTCTTTCATTCATTACGTCTGCTCAACGAAACGGATTAAGTGTATAATGATTCGGATCGAACCGAAATAGTTCGCGAACTAAAATAAACAATTTTTCAATGCATCCGTACATACGATTGCGATGCAGACATGAGAAGGCAGGCGCACGGAATATAAAAGCGCATCTATAATTCCTAGGACAAGGGGTTTTAAAGTTAGAAAATCGAAAAAACAGTCTATTGTTATTACCTTGCCAACCATTTCTATAGCAAAAAAGTCTAATGAACATATTTTGTAAGAAATTCCAGCGGCAAAACAGTTTATTGTACTTTATAGATTTTTAATACTGTGCATATAAACAAAGGCAGGAGAGGTACTTTAGATCGTTTTGTCTGATTGGATGAATATTTACGAAAAACCTATTATACATTAAAATATTTTGCCTTAGTTTAGATACATTTTGACTTTGGAAGGAAATGAAAAAGCGTGCTATTAAAAAACGCGCAACAGCTATTAGATTCAGCGCTAATGTAAAACAATGCAACCCGTTCGTAAATATTACTAATTTGAAATGATTAAATTTTAAAACACAGTGGTACATTTGCCATCTTATTTCAGTACAGTTACTTATGTAAATTCCCTGCTGATGTATTCAGTTTAACTGCAATACTATCGTCGACATCACCTGATGCATAGTAATTGGGGCACTAGAAGAGCTCCTGGTGCTGGGAAGAATACTCTCAGCAATTATTTTTATTTGTACTAGAATCCTCGAGGTAGCCCTCAGCAATGGCTGATGATTTCCATCCACCACATCGTTTTATTGTAATTAAATTAGCTCCCGAATCTGCTAAGAAAGATGCCGAAGATCTTCGGAAACAATGGCCGGAGTAAACTGCTTCGGATCTGGAAATTTCAGAATAAATATTAGTATAGGTAGGTATATACTCGTAGCATATTTATGGTAATAATTCATGTAGCCAACGATACAAAAACTATGATGAACGTTGACTTTACTCTCCAAAATATGAATCAATAAGGAGTTTTCTGATTTTTCAATATCATCCAATTTTAAATTACAAAGCTCTTCACGATGGCATGTTCCAAATAAACCAAACATTGATGTAACTTTTATCATTACATATTTGGTGTCTGGAGCTTCATTAAAAAGTGTATTAATTTGTTCCCTAGTAAAAATTTTCGAGTATTCTAGTCGATATTCTACACTTTTTCGTTTTAAAAACGCTATTAGCTTGTAATACTTGCTTATATCCACGTTTTTCTTGATTTGTAATCTAACTTTTATCATAAAGAAATTAGTCCACAGTGTTGATGCCTTCCATAACTTATATTTTTCTTTTAAGTTAGCCGAAAGTATATTTTCAATGAACTTTTTTGCTGCTTTATTCATTTTGCACCATTCAAAAAGTTTTTTATATGCTATATCATATAGTTGCCCCGATTTCTGTGGCAACAGATCTAAAGTTGCCCTATTTGCGGCTTCTTCAACATCTAATGGCATAATAAAAACAATTATGTTTTACTTAGTTACGCTTTAGCCAGTATCTAACTTGATATAAGTATACACTTTATTGTCACGTATAATTGAA